ATTATTATTTTAAAATTAAAAAAAAAAAATCTTGGTATTAGAATGTATGGACCTCTTAATTTTTCTATTCCTCCTAATAAAAAAAACTAAATACAAATCTTCTGAAAACGGATCTTCTAAATACAGCCTCATGTGCTTAGCACGTGCAATTTGTTAGATGGTCATTATTACATGTTGGGACCCACTCAATGCATTGTTGCGGCAGGGCGGCTGAAACTTATATATATATATATATTTTTTTCTTTGGATTTATTTTCTGTAGTACACGCTACGGTGCAGTCAATGCCCTCGTTGACTGAGCCTCGATCCTCTAATCTCGGTACCACGCAACACATGGACCAGTCTCTCTCCACGTGTTGTCCGATCAGCACCCTCTCCATGGTCCCAGACCCACCTTCTCGCAATAAAATACGCGCTTTTGCTGCGCTGCCGTCGCACTTTTGCTGCGCATTCTTCTCACGGAATTTCCCCTCACAATAATTTGTTGTTTTCATTACCACTACTACTACGTTATCTTTTAAGAGTTAAATATTAATAATTTATTGATTTGAGTAGAATAAATTTAATTTTTAAAAATAAAATTTTAAATTTAAATATTATAAAAAAATAAATAAAAAGGTAAATATTGAAAAAGTTTTTTTTTATGACTTCTAATTTAATTAGATGTTATAATTTTAAGACTATCTTTTGTTATTATCTTTTGGTATAGTTTAACTGTATCATTCAAAATATTAGTTTTTTTAAAAATTTATATAAAATTTATGATATTAAATATATTTACTCATTTAATGACATATGAAAATTATATCAAAATGTGATATAAAAATATTATCTTTATAGTATCCATAATTTAATTAACTTTAAAATTAATTGAAAGTCAATATAATTTCAGGATAGTAGAAATTTAGTAAAAAAAACCTTTTAGAATTAAATTCATTTTGGAAGAACATCCTCAATTTTGCTCTTAAGGCTATAGAAATATATACAATAAAACGTATATGGACTTTTGCATGTTAGTAGTATGATTTTCTCGATGGTCTCAATAATCACAAAAGTTAGTATGGGGACTTTATGGCACGATATATCTTATTTTACGGACCAATCTGCAATCCCTTTGTTTGGTTCTTCCTTTCTTATTTTAATTATTTTCTTACACAGCGGTACATGCCACTTGCTCTAAAGAGCGTGGCGTTTACAGCCCAATCCCTCAGTTTCTCATCCTCCTCTATATAATAAACCCACCTTACACCTCCCCCTCAAACCCATTCAGAACTCTCGGATTTCTCCCCTTAGTAAGACAAAACTGCTTGAGCAGGAAGAATGGCTCCGAGAGAAAAGCCGGTTCCGGTGAGCCCTAACCCGGCATCCAAGGAGATCAGGTATCGAGGGGTCAGGAAGCGCCCATGGGGTCGTTACGCCGCCGAGATCCGCGACCCAGGGAAAAAAACTCGTGTCTGGCTGGGCACATTCGACACCGCTGAGGAGGCGGCGCGTGCGTACGATAAGGCGGCGCGTGAGTTTCGCGGTGTCAAGGCAAAGACGAATTTCTCCGAAACTAACGAGAATAATAACAGCAATATCTCGCGTAGCCCCAGCCAGACCAGTACCGTGGATTCCTCCTCCCCTCCGCCGCTGGACCTCACTCTAGCCAGCGGCTCGTCTTTCTCCATCCCCATCGTGGCTCGTCCCGTTTTCTTCTTAGATGCGTTCGCGGGATCTCGTATGGCAACGGCGGCGGCTGCTGCTGTAGGATGCTACGGCGCCAGCGGAACAACCGCCGGCAGCCAGAGCGATTCTGATTCTTCCTCTGTTGTGGATTTTGAAGGGAGCCCACAGAGAAGATTAGTCGTCCTCGATCTCAACCTGCCGCCTCCGCCTGAAGCGGCATGATATTTCCCGGCCGCAGTGGTTTTGCGCTCAAAATTTTCCATTTTTCCTTCCAATTTAAGCGAAAAAAAAAAGAATCAAATTGAAATTAGTAGCAGACGTGTAACAAATTATCGTGTAAATATTAACCTCATCCTATGATGATCCGATCTCTTGTTTTTTAGCAGTGGGGGATTAGAAAGTCAATTTTATTCCTGAGAACCCTTTTTCCCTTCTCTGTTAATTTTATAATTTCAATAAGATTTAGTATTATTTTATTATTATTATTGGAGTCTCTTGTTCTGTAATATGAATCAAGAATCATGTTACAAAATATAAATCAAAATTTTAAAAAATTCGTTCTTCGTTTAAATGTTGCATGTTATAAAATAGAAATTATATTATTAAAAAATGTGTTACAAAATATTAATCATAATATTAAAAAGTTTATTTTTTATTTAATTGTTATTGTTATGTAATTTAGTGTAATTTTTTTTATGTTATTATTTAGTTGTCCTTGCTGGCGGTGGAATGAAAATTTATAATGTTTATCAAATTCTAAATTTAGAGCAGTGTAGCATCCGTTATGATGTTCTATGTCTTTCTTTACAATTTGTATGGATTTTGTATGAGACAAATTCATATCAATTCTTACTTTTTATCGAATTTTAAAATTCAATTACTTATGATTCATTTACTCTACATCATATCATACTTTTTAAGAATAGAACACTTTAATTAAGTTAGTATTATTTATCAATTTATGAGACAACTGTGCTGTTACCAAAGGTTGATTATTTTGAAATATTAATTAGTCTGCATTTTAATTTAGATGTTTTACAAATTAAATTTGAATATTTTTACTTAATTATTTATTTTTTATAAGAGAATGCATGTTAATTTTTTTTAAATTAGAATTTTAATATTATTTGATTTAATAAAAATTTAATTTAAAATTTAAAAATTTATCTTATAAATAGTTTTAAAATTTAAGTATTAATATTTGATAGGATAAATTTTAAAATTTTAAATTAGATTTTGATTAAATAAAAAATTTTCATTTAGAATAAAATATTTTTTCTAATAAAAAAAATTAAAAAACACTGTTCCAATTAATTTAAGACAGTTTATGTAAAATATAATAGGTTTCGTCTAATTTATATTTTAAGTTAAAAGTATAATATAAATATATTTTTATAATTAATTTACATAAAAAATACAACAATTAATATTTATTTTCATAATATTATTATATATAATTTTAAAAAATTATTTAATTAATTAAATTAAAGTGAATATTTATATTTTTTTATATGAATTCATTACAAAAATATATAATTATTATATTCATAACATGTGTTTAGACAAAACATATTAAAAAATAAAAAATTATATTGTATTTATTTAATTTTAATAAATTTAATTTTTAATTTAGAGTATTTAAATTAAGTTATTCACTTTTTATTTTTTACTATATCATTTAATATATTTATATTTATTTTATATTTATTTTATATTTATTTTAAAATAATAATTATAATAAATATTGAATAAAAAATTTTATTTAAATAAAATTAACTAATTAAAAATAATATAAAATTTTATCAATAAATTATTATTTCTAACTTTCTAAAATTAAACGCAAAGAAGGTAGGTATTTTGGGCGAATGGAGTTCGATTAATTTCAAAAGCCGCAACTAAGAGAAAAGAGGATGCTCTCCTGTGACCGGTTTCGTTAGCCTATCAATTACTAGTATTTTGACGGCATAAGATCAAAAACAAACAAAAATATCAATCAGACAGGAGTTGATGAATCTAGTCTAGGTGCGGTTGCGATTTCCCAACGTGGGTCCCATTATGGACGCAGGCGGCAGTTTTGTTTGTAGATTTTTTTCTTTAAAGGGACGGGCGGCACCGACGGCGAAACCCGTTGCTTTGGTTAAGAGACCGAATCAGTTGGGTGGGCCCCGTGGATAGTGGAATTCCGTGTTGACCAGGTATATGTCGGAATTCAGGTTGCTGTCACGTGCACTTCCACCGTCTGACATACGGAGTATTTTAGCACTACTTGTTTAAAATTTCTTTAAATTTTTTTTTAATTTTAAATTAAGATTTCACCCTTTTTAATTTGAAAATATTTATTTATGCTATTTTTTTTAATAAAAACATGTTCAAATAAAGAATTTCAAATTTAGATAAAAATGAAACGAAACAAGCCACAATAATTTTTTTTTTGAATATTTGAAAAGGTTTGTTTTTAACTTAATTAAAATTATACACCTAATATCTATGTGGGTCATTAGTTCGGATTCTTTTTCTATTTAATTGCATTTATTTTGGTTAATCTTAAATATTTCTAGAACTTACCATGTATAAAATATTTTTAATTATAAAATAACTTTTAATTAACTACTCATTTATAAAAAATAGCAGTATAAAACAATATCTTTTACGGAATAAAAAGTTGTTTCTAATTTCTTTATGCCCTCAGTTTTATTGTCCTCTAGTTATGGGTATGCAGTTGGTACTTCAATTAGCAATTGAAGTGGTTGATAGGGACCGCGTGATGGTTATTCCACCTAGAACCTTCCTCAACGCTACGTATTAGGTTGAATAACACGAAATGTCACGTTATCTTCACTAATATTATATTTTGAATAATATTGTATAATATTAAATAAATGCCTTTGAAATTAACCTCTAATTAAAAAAATAAATTATAAAAAATCTAATCATATTATACAAACTCTGTTACATAAAAAATTAAAAAAATTATTTTAGTATATCAAATTATTATAAGTATTACTTTAAGTATCTTATTTTATATCATAAATTATATTAAATTATAAAATAAAAATTATTAAATAAAAAATAAAACTTTAATATTAACAATTAATTTTAATAATAGATAACAATATAAAAATAATTTTTATATAATTTTTATATAATTTTCATATATTATTCAATAAATAAATATTTTTAATGTAATAAATTTTAAATAAATAAAAAATTATCATTTAATTGATAAAAAAATTATTTTAAATTATTTTTTAAATAATTATAATTATATAATTTAATATAATTTAATTTATGATGTTTTTTTATAATTTAATTTTCTTTTTTTCTTAAGGACGGAAAGAGGTCCACGTGTAAAGAGTATTCAATGTGGGGGTCGCTGCTGCTGGTTTTCCAAGGGACCCAATCCGGGTGTCATTTACTCATTTTGAACTGTAATCCACCGCCGGATATGACAAGCTGCATTCAACTTTGTCACTATGAAACTGACATGTGCACAATCAAAACACACCACGTGTTGTCTTCACGTGGGTTCTACTACGGAACTGTAAAGACGTGTCGGAAGAAGATAGACAGTTGAACCAGCGCGTCGGCGGGAGTTGAATGGTGGGACCGCAAAACACGCGGGGGCTGTGTGCCACGTTGTCGTCGGATATTTTAGAATAACCGCTGCTACTAGATCGTAGTGTCGGTTAAGCTTTGGGTGGCTGCTGGCGTTTAAAGCCGCGTTTTCGCTGACCAATCTATTTACTCGGTCAAAAAAGTTAGGAATAATAACATCGTCGGTCTCTAAATTTTTGTTTTTTCACGTTTTAACCTCTAAATTTTATTTGTAATCAGTAAGACCCCTGAACTAGTCCCCCCGTTTTTTTTAGTTGTACTAGTTTAACAATACATCTATGTTTAGATAATATTTTTTATGGCATATAAATAATACAACCTCTATTCAACTCAAGAAGGATTTTTGAGTGAATTAGGCATGCCACTATATGAGCGGCTGATATTTTAAAAAGGGACATGACACTAATAAGTGTAGGTTATCATAAAATGCAACATTTCTAATTTTCTAGCGAAATTACATATCAATAATCTCTTAAATATATTTGTAATTGCACCAAATCAGAAGTTTCTCTTCAGTTTGTATTTTCATTGTGGATAAGCCTGCAAAGTCCCGAGGTGGATCATCGAAGTAGACATTCCGATACATAAGTCAGCAATAATCGGATCTACTTTTAAAATAATGAAAAAAAGGAGCTTTAGGTTTGTTTCAATTATCTTTTTGAGGTAACCTCTGTGAGGTATTTATAGGTCTTAGTGAGGTGTTAACGTGGCTTACTTTACAAGATAATCGGAGTGTGACGTGTCTCTTTAGACGATAATCTCAAGACCAAGAAATCATGTGTGGTAAATCAAGTGTGGGCATACTTACTGTACTTATCATGCAGCCATTTGATTGAGAAGTGCTACATTTAACTTCATTTCAGTTATTAAAGAACCATAATAGTATGTCCGAGGTTAAGAACCTCGAACCTATCCTTACAAAATTACTAAAACAAGCTTACCAACAATGTAAATAAGGGAATTACTTGTTTTGAAAAAGGGAGATTAGATATGAGATAATTGAACAAACGATAGTGAGAGGTGTGTTCTTGACAATTATGGTGTTGGTGATGGTCGCAAAAGTGAAAGGGACCAAAGTAAAAGAGGACGGCTATAACAATTGCGTTAAACTATGTCCAAGATGGGATGATGTGAGAAATTCTTTCATAAAATAGTGATATCATATTATTCACTAATGCAGTGATATATTAATATAAATATAGTCTACGCTTATAATTAAATAATTAATAAATTAATCATTTTAATTACAAGCTTATTAACAATGTAAATGAGAGAATTACTTGTCTGGAAGAAGAGAGATCAAATATGGGATAATTGTAGAAATGGCAGTGAGAGCTGTGTTCTTGACAATTATGGTGTTAGTGATGGTTGCAAAAGTAAAAGGTGCTAAAGTAGAAGATGACTGCCATAACAATTGCGTCAAACAATGTGCAAGAGGGGATGATGCAAGAAATTCTTTCACAAAATAGTGATATCATGTCATCCACTAATGTGGCGACATATAAGTAGAAATATAGTCTACACTTACAATTAAATAATTAATAAATTAATCCTTTTAATTACAAGCAGGGACCATGCTCGTTGTTGTGTCGTCACGTTAGCAAAGAGGGATACCACTAACATAGAATCCTTGTTCGGAAGAATTTTTCCAATAATGCTATATATCATTCCAAGCTTCGAACAACAAGAGAGTTGAAGCCCAGCCGCAAGACCTGACATAAGAGTTTTTATCCTATATTCGTTTCATGGTTCAAGCCAGGAAGTAAGAGTTCCGGCCCACATTAGACAATATGGGGGTGTTTGGTTGAGGAAACTTTTTTCCCCTAAAGTTTTTTATTTTTTTTTTTAAAGTTATTTATATATTTTTATGCATCAATATTAGAACAAAATGAAGGTAAAACAAGAATTTTTTAACTTTTATTTTTTTAACACAATTCTCAACTAGTAAAGTTTTTTTCTTATCTATTTTGTAAGAAAAAAAAGTTTCCGTATAAATATTTTTATATTGAATCCACTTAACAACTTTTTTTATATTAATTCATACCAAACACAACAAAATTAGTATTCCAACAAATTCTAATAAAACTTCATGAAGAATACATTGAGGGACAAGATTGCAAAGGCATCTCAGGCAATGGCCGTCGGAAAGACTTCACCAATGTCAGAGAGTGGCCAAGCGCCCCAAGGACAAGTGCAGCAACCTATTGGTATTATGAGGATCCCTAAAATCCTTGAAACTCTTAATCGCACTGATCCTATAGCCCGATTGACTAAGTTTGCTAAAGTGGATTTCCCTAGTTATGATGGAATTGACAACCTTAGGGGGTGGTTGTATAAATGCAATCGTTTCTTTAAGGTCATAATGTCCTAGATGAACAAAAAGTAAAAATAGCTTCCATGTATTTGTCTAGGGATGCAATCATTTAGCATGAATGTTACATGGAAGACAAGAGGACGTTTCTTGATTGAAGGGATTATATTTTTGATATGAGTTTGAGGTTTGGGGAGGGTGAGATGCAAGACCCCATAATCTCGTGGAAAAACTTGAGCCAAATGGGTAGTGTGAATGAGTATCAGAAGGATTTTGAAAGGATCAGGGTTAGAGTGAAGTGTAATGAAAAACAAGTAGTTTCTATGTTTGTAGGAGGCCTAAAAGAGAAGTTGCAATATTCTGTGACTTGCTACAATCCAAAGTCAATTGTTGAGGCTTTTGCACTAGCCAAGCACCAGGAATTGTTTGTCAATTCCATTATCGAGAAGTCCAAAAACCTTCCACCTCTCCTGCCTTTACCACTTGATTCCCAAAAAATATTTCCAGACACTTATCCCTACATATACCAGAACTGAAATACCAAATTACCATATAATCTTCCAAAGCCACCGCCTTTTCCTCCTCAAAACAGCCATATAATCTCCTGTGGCTAAGTACAAGCCAAGGAATACTAGGTCTTTATCAAAGGTTGAACTAGAAGATAGGAAGTAGAAGGGCAAGGGCTTGTGTTTTTGGTGTGATGAGAGATATACACTAGGTCATAGATGTTCCAAGAAGAAATTGTATAACTTGGAGATATATCCTGTTGATGAGGAAGGTGCTGTAGAAGTAGAAAATTTGGATGAGGGGAATGAGTTTGAACCAGAATACTGTCATTGACAAGACCAAAGCAGTGGTTTAGTGGTTTAAATTCATTCTTTAGATGCTGGAACAACTTATAATTTTTTCAAGGTGATAGGTTCAGTTGATAACAAACCAATTTTGATACTGGTAGATTCAGGGAGCATTCACAATATATTGAATGAATTGGTAGCTGGGCTTGGGCTTGAAACAACAAAAATTGAGAGCTACCAGATTTCATGGCTGATGGAATCCATGTGGCAGGTACTAGAAAATGTGAAAAGTTTAAATGGATGATGCAAGGGTATCACTTTGAGATTGAGACATTACTGTCTCGTCTAAAGGATTATGATCTCATTCTTGGGGTTTAAAGGTTGGAGCCATTTGAAAGAGTTCTTTGGGACTTCAAACGTAGAGCATTGCATTTCAAATATAATGATGAATTCATTAAATTGTTGGCTGTACTAGAGCATATGTTTGAAAAGTTTGAAGAAGGCAAATTGTCAGTAACCAGTCCAAAGAAGGGGCAGTATGCAGAGGCTGTGTTTTCGTTAGAGCAAGCTTTATTTCAGGATAAGTTGGTTGGAGTTGGAGCTTGGATAGATAAACAAGTGCCGAAAGAATTGGTTAGGCAAAATGCTGATTCAACATATTTTGGTTCTTCATTGGATAATGAATATCAGTGCTTTCCTGTTATGAATTTGGATAAGTGGCTCTTGGTTGGTGTTTATGGGCACCAGATACAAGCAATTGTTATCAAACTCTTTAACATCTACAGATCCTGGAGGGCCAGGATCTTAAGGGGAGGGCAGATGATACAGTCCATTTTATAAGTGTTGAGCTGGCAAGGTTGTTAGAGTTAATAGAGTTTGTTAAAGGAAGGTTGTTAGTCGGTTAAGCCATATTAAGAGACAATTCCCTATAATGGTAATATTGATTGAATGAATATTGAACTTGGCTTCCAACTCTGTATCTTCGTTCTCCCTCTTAATTTCATGTTTTTGCTTCTTCCTCCTCTCTGTTTCTCTTCTAATCTCTTCTCAATTCTCTTGTTCTTTCTTTCTATTCTCTATTTCTAGTTTGACAGCAATCATGTTTTGATTTTTCCTTTCATTTTTGTCCTTTTTAGAGTTTCCCCTTTTTCTTCTGTTTTAATAGTCACAGGTCGGGGTGAATCGAGAGGAAACAGTGGGAAAATCTTCTTCTTCCTTGAAGAAGAAATGCTTCAGGAATCACTCTCAGGTACTTTTCTCGTTTCCCCATTTATGAATTATTCAATATCTGAACTCAATTGTGATTTTTAAAAGATTCTGTAATTGTTTTAGGGTTCATTGTTGTTTTCTGTCACATTTCTCGTTTTACTAATCTTAGTGAGCCAACAGAAAATTAAGATTATGGGTTCATGATTATGCCTTCTTTTTTTTTTTTTGTTGGTTTTGGTTGGGAAGATTAATAATTTAGCATGTTGGATACTGAGATTATGGTGATTTAATTTTGATTAATATGTCCTTTAATTTGAACGCAAATCAACCTAAAATGGGTTCTTGATGTTTCTTATGCTTTTGTGCAAGTGAATTATTCCTTTAGTCACGTATAATGAAGAAAAGTAAGAGTAAGAGCGAGAGTGGGAGGAACAAATCCGAGAAGCTTCGTCGTTTCAATGATTCTGTTTCATACTCGGATGATAGTGATTCAAAAAGTTTATTGTCTGTTTCAGCATCTGGTTCTGAGGATGACTATGCTAGTTGAAAGTCCCGGGCTTGCACAAGAAAGGATCCTAAGGGCAGTAAGAAGAGGGTTTGAAGGCGGTCATTGAGTAGTGAAAGCTGTTAGGATTCTCCTCGTGTTAGGAAACAAATAAGGTCACGGTCATCTAGGAGAGATGATGATTATGAGAGGAGGAAGAAAGCCCCCAAAAGAAGCTTCGGAGAGATGTGAATGTGAGTTCAGCAAGTAGTGGATCAAGGTGTTGTTCTAGTTGTCGATCTGGGAGTAGGAAGTGGCACTGATGAGGGTGAGTTTGAGAGGAGAATGGGTAGATCTGAGAGGAAGAAGAAACATAGAAAAAGGATGGAGAAGGTTAAAACCGAAAGTGAAAAAAAGCAGGTATAGATCAAGGAGTCATTCTTCTAGTACTGGATACAGTGAATCTAATGAATATCAGAGTGAGGACAGAGTGAGGACAGAGTGGTGGAGCAGAACAATTCAGGGAGGCTCAGATTGGTTATCTCTGTTTTTAAAGACGAAGGGAGAGTGTTGGAAGGTGATGAGCATAAAGAAGAGATCATACATGGTCATGATGATTACCCATCTAGCAAAAGAAATGATAGTAATGATAAGGGTATTAGGAGGGAGTTTCCTCAGCATTCACACTTTGCACATGAGAAAATAAGGATGTACACGATGAACAAGGAGAAAAAACTGATGTTTCTTACTTCAGAATCAACAGTGTTGTGTTTAGCAGCAAGGATGATATTTCCAGCTGTGATGTAGTTGGTAAAGATAGTGCTGCAGATGAAAAAAAGAGTGATGCTGCTTGTGCCAGTGGTACTTTAGATGTTGATGATTTGGAAACTGTATTAAGACATTGTGCTCTGGAAAATCTAAGAAATTCAGAGGAGGAATGCAAACAAGTACCAACATTCAAGCAAATCAGAAAGATAAGAACAATGCCAATGTGAACACATTGTCTAAAGAAAAACCTGAATCAGTTTGGCTTAAATCCACCATTGAAGATGGTTCTAGAGTAGTGACTGCAAGTCAAATCATCACAGCAGCCTGAGCTGCTTGCAACAAGAAAAAATTCCTCTGGTTTACCACCCGACAGGAAGAATTCAGAAGGTAATAATGGTGGAAGAGAATCTCTGACTGCTGAGCATGTTGTTACTTTGCAAGGGACCAGGTGGCCCCTGCCTGTGTCCCTAAGGAAGAGGTCAATGACAATGTAGCTATTAGTTCTGATACTATTAGGCTGAAAGCTTTGAGACGAGAATCACCTAAAACTTACTCCACTCTAAAACAAGGTTCTGCTTCAGAACCCATGTTGACACCAAGGAGTAAAGGGAATGAGACTGCTGTAGAGTCTGCTAAATCGGAACCCCAATTGACGACAATAATATTGATGAAACTAAGAATGTGCACGATTCTACTACTAGTGATGATCCTTCATCTTGCCCTGGATATATGTTAGTTGATGTCAGCTCAGGTAATCTGCAACATGGAACTAAGTAGGGCTTACAGTTTGAGCAGAAGACGATGTCTGTTATGCGGGGTAGTGAATTAGTACAGGTGAGGTTTTGAACTATTAAATCACCATGCTAAGTTTCCAAACCAGTAATATTTGATGCTTGTTATTTGTTTACGTGCCATGGATAGATCTCAGGATTGACTCCGTTTTATCCTCTTTAACTTATTTTTCCAGGTGAATTACAAGGTCTATATCCCAAAGAAAGCACCTGAACTCATGAGGTGATGTTCCATCAATGATTTGGTTTAGTGCGCAAATCCTTGATAGCCTGAGAGCTGCAGGCCGTAATAATGGTTTATTGCATCTGTCTATAAAAGAGGACATGATAAGAAACCTTGCAAGAACTGACTTATGATTAACTTCTAATGCGACATCTGACGCTTTAGTCGTTCCAGCTGAATTTTTGGATACTTCTATCTATAGATTCACCCTGGAAATTGATTTATGTAGTTGCCTCTTTGGCAATTTTAACG